AATCCGATGGGCCCTCTGGTTGTTGGAGGATTTCTTATTGATAAAGATGTTTTCTTGAAATGTCAAGGGGTCTGATTGTTCTTCGTAGAAAGGGGGTTGGTACTGAAACCCGAATCCATAGTCTTCTCTTCCTTGATTGCTCCAAGAAGTCTCAGGGTAATACCACTCTAATGGTGATGGATACCCCAATGGTTGGATAAGCCATGAGGATCCATGTTTCAGATCTGCACCACCAAAAAACACTCATGTGAAAAGCAAGGGTGGAAAAGAAAAACAAAAGAAAGAAAAGCTAAATTAACAAACTTCTGCCTTTCCTAATAATCTAGAAATTCTCCGGCAACGGCGCCAAAAACTCGCTAAAACACAACTCCTAACTGTGGCCAAGGGTAACCAATGAAAGGGTCTATAGTATAGTGTTGCAAGTAATAAATATCGAATCCACAAGGTCTCCAGATTCATTATTACTCAGCTTCAGCTTATTATCTAGCAAATCAGATTAAGGTTTGATTAACTAACTACTCCTACAAGCTACTCTAGGTTAGACTACTAATTACAAGTTGGAAACTCACATAGGTGTCCCCCTAGCCACTAGCCATATTAATGGTTGATGATCTATAACCTGTTTCACTTTCATTCACAATGCGGAGAATCCTTGACTAGACCTTGAATCTCGACTAAAGAAATCAAGGCCCTCTTGATTTGATTTCCTAGAGAGACGTATCCTTCTATAGAACAAGTGATCAAGGCGTTTTGAACTAGATTCCCTCTATCGAATGTAGGGATGGCAATGGGGCGGGTTTGGGGCGGGTTTGTCTAAACCATCCCCATCCCCGCTTTCGAATATCCAAACCCATACCCGCCCCATACCCATGCAGGGGAAGATTTTGCAAACCCATCCCCATACCCGTGGGTTTCGGGTACCCATAGGTAATACCCGCCCCGTACATCCAACATTATAATAAATAAAATTTTACATGTAAATTTTCAATTATAACATTAAAGGCACCTATTATATCATGAAGTCGATAAAGTGACAATAATTCTTAATATGGTTCAAAGCATTTTATCCTAAAATTTTCCTTAATCCATAAAATAGAGTACTACAATGTAATCCAAATCATTATTTATATGACTCTAATACATATACTAAGCAATAATGAACTAATATAATCTTGCTAACACGAGGGAAAAGTGAAAGAGTGAAGAGAGAGCCAAGGAAAATGAATTAGGTTTTGATTTGGGTGACCACTCAATTGCATTTCTACTAATTATTCTTTTTATTTACCCTCACTATCATTGATAGATTACTATTTCATCCATGTATTTTTTATATGTAAACAAATATTCTTGGTGGGGCGGGTATGGGTATGGGTATGGGGCGGGGGAGGCTAAAACCATACCCGCACGATACTCATCAAACATTTTGCGGGTTTTACCCATACCCGCCCCATACCCAGTCAAAGCGGGGATTCCCCGCGTTGACTGGGTCGGGGGCGGTCGGATACCCGTGGGCATGGGTTTGATTGCCATCCCTATCGAATGAGGTTCGCAATCGATACAAAGTAGTGAATTGACCCTCGGCTAAAGCAATCGATCCAATACTATCAATCTATGGTGCTCTATTGACCTAATCAGGTATTCGCCCTCATAGGATCAAAGCAAAATCAATAATCTCGACTAAAGCAGAATTGAATCATGAAAACACGCATAGATTGATTATGAACTCAAGATTATCAAATAGGAGTACTCATACAATCATCCAATCAAACAAACATAGCTAGAGTTCCTCACAACCTAATTGAAGGGAAGTTACTCCATAGAGAAAGAGAGAATGCAGAAATATGATCTAGATCTTCAATCTCCATCTCTAAACTTGATTTTCGAGCTCTAATGGTGAAGAAATCCTCCAAAATAGCTCCAAGAATGATCCCAAGGTGCTCTCTCTCTCTCTCTCTCTCTCTCTCTCTCTAGGGTTCGTCCCTTGGGTGTTTGGGATCCAAAACCCAACTCTCCCTCTCCAAAAATCGCAAAACAGTCTTTATACCCGCTGGAATTCGCACCCCCGACTTGTACGGCAGTGAAAATTGAGGTTTTGGTCGTGAAAACTCCCTGAAAAACTCGCACGGCCGTGCACATTTTCCAACATGCACTTCTAAGCTCCGTTTACGCTTGTTTGAACTCGTTTGACCTCAGATTCAGGTGTCGTTTGATCCCATATGCTCGTAGTTTTGTCCTCTTTCTTTTCAGGGCAAGCTTACATGATTCTTTGTCAATAAAATGAGGTAAAAATTCATTCTTCTTCGGGTCATGCCCAAGTTTCTTCTCCCGAGTTGCCAATTGATCTCTGATTGACTTTAAACTTGCTCCTATGCCTTCACTTTACATGCTAGGACCTGAAATATGACAAAGGAATACAACCTAGCATAAAATAGGCCAAGAAACTATCAATTTCCAAGTTAAATGATCAAGAAATGAAGGGGGAAACATGTGCACATATCGAGTCATCAATGAACAATATAATACTTTTTCATATATCCGGCCAAAAGTGGATTAATTAAAATGATTGGACCACTAATCCTCAACCCATTTACTCGACCATGCCAACGAGCTAAACCGGTTGACAACTTTTGATAATTTGAAATCCGGATATTCTAAAAAAATTGGGTTCTAATTTTGATGATTGAATCAAATCGATCAATAATTGAGACCTTCAGAGAGTTTGGTTGGAATTTAAATGTCGGTCTTCAAACTTCTTTCGTGACTGAAAAAAGTTTTGCATTTAATAATTGATGGGTCGGAGGAAGGGAAAATGGCACGGATGGAGGATGAGATTGTGGCTATTAATTATTAGGAGTTGCAGATATAAAAGATAAGCCATAAAAGAGTGTAAATTTAATGTTTCATTTTCAACCGGTTCAACCATGATTCAATCGCATAAACCGAATTTTATTAGAAATTGTAACAAATGGCATGTTTGACAATACGTATATATCATATAGTACGAGGGGATGTTTCATGTGAAAATAGTATAGAGATAAATTTTAGAAAAGTGAATAATAGAATGGCAAATATGTTATTAACTCGACATGAAAAGTCAAAGATCGTATTGATAGAGTAGAATTTAGCATTTTATAATGTTTGGATTTTCTTAACTATTCTTTGTGCAATAGTATCTAACACTTAACAACCCCAATTATTATTCAAACAAACATATACACCTTATAACCAATATATCTACTAAGGGGTCGTTTGGGGAATATGAGTTTAAATCTATAGATTGTCACCAATCTAAACATTCTAACTCTTCAGATAGTTGAAAATAGATTTAACATGTTTATTGTTTGGTTTTTTTTTTTTTTTGTGAAAACAGGCCGCATAGGGCGCCCTAACCTATATTAAGAAACGACAAAACGGGGTGTTTGAATCCCTAGAGTATCAAAGTACAACCAATATAGAAGAGTACTACTCGGGTTTTGAATCCCGTGAACCCCTATGGGAACAGAGTGGCCAATGGAATAGAGGTGGTCAGCCACGAAATTCGCTTCTCTGAAAACATGCTCTATCCTGACAAGCTAAGGCCGAGCTAGCCATTGGCGGATCTCTGTGACGCATGAATAGTGTGGATGCTGCGGAGTCGCTTGCTCGATCAAGTTTTGGGCAGTGCAAGAGTCTGTCTGTAGAATGACCTTCATGATCCCCTCTTCCCAAGCAAATTAAATCTCAACCCATAAGCAATCCCAGCCAGCTCAGCACAAGTAATCGAACCCCCTCCCAGGTTCGCTGTGAATGCTTTGATAAACCGGTCATCGTCTCCCCTCACAATGCCGCCACAGCTCGTGCTTGCAAGAGAGTAAGTGGTTGAACCATCGATGTTGACACAGGCCCAACCACTCGGCGGTGGCTTTCAGTTAATTTCCCGCCTCTCTCGGAGTCCCCCAGCTCCGAACACATTGCTCTCCTTCTCAAAAGCTTTGGTGATCTGAAGCCTTAGCTGTTTGATGATGACCTGGAGCTGCTCATGGGTTTTCAACTCACTTCGGAACAGGTGATCATTCCGGTTCTTCCACAGCAGCCAGCATGTGCCTGCAAAAAGAGTACTATCGATGACGTTACTCCGCCCAGATAAATAGTGCATTGACCACCTGTGAAGCTCGGGTTCAAGGAATTTGTCGTCTGGTTCATTTTCAAGGATCCCCGCTTATGCGGCTATGTTTATTGTTTGGTAATTGTGATTGTTAACATTCATTGAAAATAAAAATAAAAATTTAGAGTAAATAACATGTATATCCTTAATAAAAAAAATTAGATTGGTTTGAGAAATACTAAAAAATTTGTTGATAATTATATTTAATATGATAAATAAATAAATAAAAAGAAGAGAAAAAGTATGAGAAAAATAATTTCACGAATCAAAATATAGGATCTCTCTGATTAGGAGAGATTTGATATCCGTAGATTTTAAATATTTGAAATCTCTAAAGCTAAACTCCACAATACAAAAAGTAACAGAAAAAAAACATAATTTTCTACAAAATCTACAAATTCAGTAAATCCACACACTAAATTCTATTCTCCAAACTACTAAAATCATAAAATCATGCACCGAAAGTCGAAAACATACATTCCCCCTAACCCTCATTATACATGCTATCTAACTCCATCCATATATTTACAATCTCTATATTTACTTTTTTGTTATACACCCCATATTTATTTCCAAAAGTAACTTCAAGATTAAAGAAAGCTCATAATAGAAAAATACCATACGCCCTGCATTAAAAACTTGCGTTCACACAATATGGTAAAAGTTACATTCACATAATAAATACAACATGGTAAAACAATAATCAACCTGCCAATTAAACCATAAAGGATATCCATCCCTTTTCCCCCCCAAGTCCTTCCACTATATATACATCAACGTCTTTCACCCCTCATTTCACATTCACATCCAAAAAAAAAACATAAAACATTACTCCCAAAACACAATTAAAAAAAAAATGAAAAACTCAACCTCCATTTCCTCCTACATTTGCGCTCTTCTCATTTCCCTTCCCCTCCTCTTCATTTCCGCCGCAACCGCGGTCCCGTCGACCCTGTTGGTTCAAACCTGCAACAAAACCGACGACGACGCTCTCTGCCTCTCGTCTCTCTCGTCCGACCCTCGATCCGCCGCGGCCGGCGATGTCAAGACACTGGCTCTGATAGAGATCGACGCCATTACAGCCAAAACCAACGTCACTTTAGACATTGTTGGCAAGCTGTTAGCCAATGTCACGGACCCGTATTTGTACCGGTGCTACGGTTTGTGCGTCGACACATTCAAGGGGATTCTGGAGAACAGGATCCCACAGGGGATTGCGGCTCTGAATTCGAAGAATTATGCCGAGGCGAAGGAGCAGGTCGGAGATGTTCAGTCCGACGTGGAGCTGTGCTTGGAACAGCTGGCCGACAAGGAACCGTTTACTGGTGGAGCTCAGCTGATGAGTCGTCTGGCCGGTGTGGCCATTGGAATCATTAATTTGTTGCATTGAGTGATTTTTAATGTCATGTTTTTGGATTAATAATGAGGAAAAGAGAATGTTGTTACATGGTTTTGTAATTTGCGACCCGCTATGAGAATTTGAGTGCAAGAAGAGCACTTAAATATGGAGCACTTTCAAAAAAAAAAAAAAATGGTTCCAGTCATTTATTTAACCTGTTTCAGAGTGGGTATAAAAGAGGTGGGGTGAACATGGATATTCTTCTCGACCCGTTTTTTTTCCTTCTAAATTATATGTAATTTAATCAAATCACCTAGGATTATAGGCGAAGCCAAGGGGGTTCGTGGCACTGGTAATTTTTGGGTATATATATATATATCAATCAAGGATCAAACTCATCATCTCTAGGTGATATAAGATTGTTTTACCACTACAATACAAGTTATTTTGGGGTTAAAAACGAATATAAATCAATTATCACACTATAAAAAAAATTGAATTGAAATATACCCCTAAATCGATCTCTTTGTCTTCTGAAGTTAGTTTTGATACTACCTGTTGCAAGTGCAGAAAGAGTATTTTGCATTATTTTCATAATACTGAAAATGCGTTGTGGTTGTTTATGAAAATAATAATTGATTTGGATATTTCTTTATTATTTATGAACAAATTATTTGAACATCATTCATTTTAATTATATTTATTAAATAATTATTTTTATATTTTTTTCTGTAAAGAGGACACGGATACTTTCGAATCCTGCATTCACCAATGCGGTAGAATTTTACCTTTTTACTTTAGCGTTAAATCAAACCTCTCAATCGTGAGAAGCCCGTCATACATAGCTGACGAATCACGTTTTATTTGCTTTAACAAAAAAATAAAAACACATAACAAATTTTCGATATGATGAACGAACGTACAACTGTATACATTATCAATGAACACTTTTGATGATGGCCACCGCCACGTTGGCGAGTCGCCGGACGGCCATATTCCGTCCGGTCAACGGCGACTTATTCCCCCCACGAAATTCCTCCTCGCACAATTCCGCCTCCCTCGCCGAATCCACCATCGAGTCCACCCCAAACTTCGGATTCGCGTATCTCACTTCCGTCACGGCTCCAGGGACATCGTAGTCGATGATAATCCCGTAGTAGAACTCGCAAGCTTTGAGAGCGGCTTCTTCTTCACCGCGAAACGACGCCGTCTTGGCAAGCCGCTTGATGTAAAGCGACGTCGTAGTGGCCCTGGCCTCGACCACGTGGATCATGGCGAGCGCCAGTTCCCTGACGGTGGTGGCTCTGGCGGCTCGTGGGGCGGCGGAGAGGGACGATACGCAGAGGTCGAAGTCGGGAGTTTTCTTGCAGGTTTCTGTGATGAGGTGGTTCGGTTGCGCGGCCGAGGGGTGGGGTAGTAGGATGAGGAAGGAGACGGCAACGACAGTGGCGAGTTGTGTGGGAATCGCCATGGGTTTTTTTTTTTTTTTGCTGGTTTCTGATGGGGTTTTGGATGTAGCTTGAGGAGCCCATTGAGTTTGTGGCTTTTATAATCATACTAAGGAACGTTCAAGAGACATCCCCGAATCTTGTTAGATGTCAACAATTAATTAAGTGACATAATTGGGGGGGATTTACTACTAAAGCAGCGGGTTTATTGAATTAATTTTGTAATCGCTATAGATATCTTTTTCCTTAAATTTGAATTTAAATTTAAATTTGGGTTGTTTAGTTTCTTCGATTGTTAATTCGATGGAAATTGGAATGTAGCATTTTAAGATACGAGGAAGAGAATGAAAATAAATTGAGTGTTGTCTATTGGGTTAGGCTTGTGTTGTTCATTATGTTGGGTCGAGAGAATAGACTTGACCCGGTTCATGAACAAAACCCAACTTGACCGGTCTAATTTTGTTCTATTGAGGTGGTAGTAAAACTTAATACGCTGCATTGATGTGGATATAATGGCATTTAACAAATTCAAAAGTTAATTAAACAAAATTACTAAAAATCTATGGTATAATCAATAGTTGGAAATTAAAAAAAAAAGGGAAGTGGTGTGATCCAATATTGAGGGTAAAAGGATGGCTTGGCTTGGCTTGGTTTTGGTTAATACCCTCGTTTGGCACGAAGTATAGCATTAATGACAGTTCTAGCCCCACTTTTCAAATAAGACATTTCTGGCTCACTTTTGAAATTATCGGACAAATTTGGCCTGTGGGACGAGTTGACTGTCAGATTTGACGGTTAACAATTTTCTGCGTTGCTAACTCAACATTCAACTCGACTCTGACATGGCTTGTCCACGCCATTTACTAATTTTTTCTTTATAAAAAAAACATAAAGGGAAAGGGAGACACGAGGACCACAGCAGCCCTATCCTTTTCTCTTTCCCCTTTCCCCTTCGATCGTCTTCTTTCTTCATGCGAAACCCCACCATACCAGAGCTCCTCCGAAAAAACAAATCATCGTCGCCAGCCCTAGTTGCCCTAGTCGCCGCCGCCAATCCTCTTCCTCTTCGTCGCCTTCCCTCGTCACACAACTCAATCGAGACACCGCCGTTCAGAATCGATTGCGTGGCCGACCAGCCCTTTTTGGCCTCTCAGCATGTCTTTTCTCTTGTTTTTGTCGGCACGATCATCTAATCTGCACGACTGTGCGCTTCATTTCGTCTCCGCTCGTCAACCATTACTCGCCTGTCTTCCGCGGGCGCTAAACGGAAGTCCTCCTTTCTGTCTTTTTCTTGTGAGACCAGTCGAACAAGGGACCACCACAGATATGACATTAAACTTTCAGCTGAAGCAGGTAACATTATCAATGTCTTTTTCTGCACTTTATGGGTTTGAATCGACTTTGGGAAAGTGGAAGGGTACATAAACAATGTCCCTTTTTGTTCTTTTTCTGTTTAGGGATTCTAAGAATGAATAAACAACTGCTTGTTTGTTTGTATGTGTTTGTGTTTAGTCTAGACACATGGGGCCAAAAAAGAAGAGTTTTGGAATGGTAAATGACCCATTTTTTGACTGACTTTCGCAGGATGAGTATTGAATTGATTTTTCATCATGGGGGGGGTGATGGATACAGCTACTGATGTACCAAAATATGTTGGCGGGAATGTCGACCCAGTTCAGTTGCTTGTTGATCGCATGTCATATTTTGAGCTGGTGAGTACATTGATTGAGGATTTGGAGTATTCATCGGTGGAGAGGCTGTGGTATTTGACTCTGGGACAAAGTATGGAACATGGGCTCCACGAGATACTTGTGGATGCCGACGTGATTAATGGCCCGGCGCCGTAGGTGTTGAAGCTCTGATCGGGGAAATTGGTGCTAGTGGTGTAATTGGCGCATATGTTGTCATGGTCGGCGCGTCGCGCCTGTACCGGTGGAACGAACCCACGGGGAGATTTTTCCCATCAGAGTAGTCCTTGAACGAGTTCAGCCCGTCGGCGACCCCGATGGCGTAATTGTGTGTAAATGAGTTCGTCTCCAACGCCACGGAATGACCCAAAAAGTAAAATGGAAGAACATGTCAAGGGATTCCTGAATTAGAGAGAGTCTTATAGAGATGCTATTTACTCATAAAAAATCAGTTTGTACCACATCGATTAATTGTCATATATTCAATGGATTTACAAGGCCAACTCAACATTAGTAATTAAATGAGCTACCTGGGCTTTATAGGGTTAGTTATAGGGCCAAGTGGCCGAGCCCCTATCCCTGGCCTAGTGGTCGGTCGCCCCATAGCCGTTCAATGCCTCCATCCCTTTGGTATGAAATTTGGCTCCCCAAAAAATTAAGTCTGGAAACAAGGCGGCAAAACAGGGTGCCAAACGACAGGGTACAAAGCCGACGAAAGAGACTTGGTAGGCTGAGGGTACCGAGCAGGGAAAATTGGAGGATTAATAGAAAATGAACCATTAATAAAAAATATAAAATAAACAATTATCTCCTCATCACTCACCCCAACCACTTATGTTGTGTAGCAGTAGAAGAAACCTAAAACGACTATCCTTCTCCATCCATTCTTCTCTTCTTTCTTTCTCCTATCACGTCCGAATTGGAGGAATTTGGGGATATAACTCTAACCGTGGTTGTTGCTATAATTTGGGGAGATTTGGCGGGATAAATCCAATGGAATCAACAAATTGGCGAGATATTGAATTATTTCTCCCAAGGAGACGATTAAGATCCTGGGTTATTATAAAATCAATGTTGGATAGACACATACTGGGACCAATTGAGTCCCCCATGACAGGAACTGACACGCTAAAACACAACACCAAACTGCGACCAAGTGTAATCGCAGTCCGGGAATGCAGTAAAGTAGCAAGTTCTATTATCAACCCGGGGTCTAGATCTACTGCCTACTCCGTGATTATCTATTATCTAGCCAACTAAGTCGAGTGATTGTTGTTTAAAGTAAAAGCAGTAAAAAGCAGGAAATGGTTCGGTTTTCTGAAGTCAAGGAAGAGTCACTCGGGAATGAGTCCCCCTAGCTCCTTAGTTAGGTTTCAATTGTAATTACCCTGGGTTGATTTACTGTTGATTAAACTGCCGAAGATCCGACAGTAGCTTGGAATCTCTTAAGCTGACCAAGCCCTCTCAGTCCAACTACCCGGCAGACGATTAGTCTTCACCGGGATAGAAAGCTGAGGCTATGAACACAGAACTCCACTACTGGAATTGGATTCCAGTACAAAGCAGTAAACTGACTAACTCTCGTATAGCCAATCTCCTACTACCGAATGATGTAGCTCTAACAACCTAATCAGATTCTATCTATCTCAGGTTGCAGCAGAAATCAAGAAAAGCTGATCAGACTTCAATCAATTCAATGAATCATGCATCATTCGATTAAAACCAAATAGTATAATCATCCCAAGTCATTACAATCAAATCCCTAACACATGGAACTAGGGTTCTTCATACCCAAGTGAGAGAAAGGTTTTACTCCATATAGAGAGAGGGGAAAAGAGGATACAAAGCAGTCATACTCATAACAATGGGAAGAATCTGCTCTGGGATGATGATTATCACTCCTAAGATGATCTCC